ACCCCAATCCCGGCGGTCGGTGGGACGGGGGGTCCCGGGGCCCTCCCGGGACCCGGCAGCGGTCTGTCGGGCGCTGCGTTTCGGTGGTGTCTTCCCCAACGAATAAATAACTCCCGCCTTCAAAGCGAGCTGCCCTCGGCTCGTAAACAAGAGCTGGAAAAAGTAGCCTGGCATGTCGGAGCAGATCCAGATCAAAGGGACGGGAAGGCGGCTCTGTTTGTTTGTGGTGTTTACCGGGGTCTTTGAAGAAAGGCCCTAAAATCCACTTTCGGGCAGAGTTGCTGTTTGTCAGCTGCTTTCTCTTGCGGGGTGCTAAACGGGTCTGGTATGGGCGCTCTCTTGACAGGGCAGGGGGGAATGTAGCATTTGCCCACTGGAGAGTGCGTGATAGATGTTTTGCCGATGACTGTACCAGTAATGTATCGGGCTCCAGCCACCCACGGATTCCCTCGCACCACTACGCTAAGAGAATGATTTCCCAGTAATTAAAGCGCTCTCCTAGGACCGAGGCATGGATAGGGACATGTTTATCACACTGTTAGCCAATTATGCATGGCATAGATTTTTTTTTTTTAAGTGTAGTCACGGACACACTTTACACAAAGGGTACTCTGGTGCAGTCAACCCCTCTTCTCTTTATTCGATATTATTCATAACTTTACCCTTCAGTGTCGTATTTCTAGTCAAATACCTTTCTTTTAAGAATGAAAAATCCTGGAAGTAGAGAAAATATATACATATGTGTATATATATACATACTTAAAATATATATATAAACACAGTATTTGAAGTGTTAGCATTCAAAAAGCCAGCTGAGGATGTGGCTTTTAAGAGTTAGCATTTCAAAGAGGAGCAAGTGAAAAAGATAGGCAGTCACCCTGCTTGAGCAGTGAATTCCAGAGCAGGAGATCTGCAGATTAGGCGCAGTGCCTGTCATTTCTGCGCCTCGCAGTATCTTGTAGGCATAAAAGATGAAAAGTTTGTCGTACGCTGAAACATCAAGTCGATCTTAATGCTTGCTCTGCTTGAATGGCTTGTGCTATGACTTTTATCGCCTTGTCCTTGATGATGTCGATGAGCACACCAATTATAAAAGACAGGTTTCCATTAGTGTGAATGTTTATAACTTCCTCCGTAGGTAGCTTGCAGCTGGCTGAGCAGTATTGCCTTTTATTTGCAAAGCCTCACGCGATGTGCATGCCATCATCTTTCTTAGTTGATAACAAATCATGTGGATTATGGTCTGTTTTGTTTTTGTAGACGAGATGTGAAATGGAGAAATACCTGGCACCTCAGCTCCCGCCCGTTCCTGTCATCCCCGAACATAAGAAATACAGAAGAGACAGTGCCTCAGTTGTAGACCAGTTTTTCACTGACAGCGAAGGGTTGCCTTACAGCATCAACATGAACGTCTTCCTCCCCGACATCAGCCACCTGAGAACTGGCCTGTACAAATCTCAGCGACCCTGTGTAACCCACATCAAGACAGAGCCGGTCACCATCTTCAGTCACCAGAGCGAAACTACTCCCCCTGCCCCTGCCCCCACTCAGGCCCTCCCCGAATTTACCAGCATCTTCAGCTCCCACCAAACTCCCGATGTGAACAACATTTTCATCAAGCAGGAGCTTCCTACGCCAGATGTTCACCTTTCCGTCACGCCCCAGCAAGGCCAGTTGTATCAGCTCTTGAGCTCACCGGATTTAGATATGCCCAACACTACGACTCAGGCAGCCGTGATGGACTCCCTTAACAATGTGTCCGTGCCGTCAGCCATGGCGGGCCTTAACACGCTCTCCTCGGCTGTTCCACAGACTGCGATGAAACAGTTCCAGGGCATCCCCCCCTGCCCCTACACCATGCCAAACCAGTTTCTGCAGCAGCAGGCCACTTACTTCCCTCCTTCGCCCCCAAGCTCAGAGCCTGGAAGTCCAGACAGACAAGCAGAGATGCTACAGAATTTAACCCCTCCTCCATCGTACGCCGCAACTATAGCTTCCAAGCTGGCAATTCACAATCCGAATTTACCAGCCACTCTGCCCATAACCCCCCAGAACATCCAACCAGTCAGATACAACAGGAGAAGTAACCCAGATTTGGAGAAGAGACGTATCCACTACTGTGACTATCCCGGTAAGCAATCTGTGCCAGAAAATCCCAGTTCTTGCGATAAAAAAAGGCAGAATAATCATGAATGGGGTATAGGTGGTTTTCTTTAGCTGTAGTCTACGCCTAGGGAGAACCAAATAATTTCTTGTCGAAGTAGAATTTCTCTTCTTGATTGTTTTATTTTGTGTTGTGCACTTTCACATTCTTTAAATAATATACACCCTTTTCTTCATGTCACTTGTAATTCTCTTAAACACCTGAGCTCGTTTTGTCATGTTACAAAACTTGTACTCCATAGGGGAAAAAAAAAGTGATAGCCTTCTCTAATGTAAGTCAATGTGACCGTGCAGCTCCCGCTCTCACTTTTGCGGTACCTGTGATGGAGCGGAGGCTTAGTTTGTCCAACACAGTACAGCTCAGTTTGAATCCACCAGCACTGAAAGAAGCATTTCAGCTCCTGGTAGCTGTATCTTCCCTGTTATGAACAGGGGATTCAGCTGCCCACATAAGTCCATTAAAGCTACCTCTGAAAATTGTCCACAGATGGGTTCCCTTCCAGTCTCTTCTGCTACGCTGAAGGGGAAGAGGGACCTGACTATAAACTGTGCCTCCATGTAGTACGTGATCCCAGATACAACACGCTCACACCCATCCGAGCACCAAGAGAAATTGCTGCTCGTGGTCGATCGCCCCCTTTGCCAACATAACTCTCAGCGGTGTATCGCTCGTTTGGCGTGCCGTATGCGAAATGCCTAGTGGAAGAGTTCTGCTCAGCCCTGGGTTGACACCGCGCCTGGCTTGATCAAATCCTCTAGGAAATTTTTAAAAACTAAAGGCCTCCTCTGAGTTGTTAACGTATGTAGCAGGTGTTACTCTACATAGATTGCAGCAGCTAGTGGTTATACTACGTTACAAGGTGGTAAGTCTACCAGAAATGTACGCATTTTTCTCTTTTCTATGTAAAGCAACATATCCCTCGGAGCTTTCTATATCAAATTTTACTTCTAAATGATGATGGTGCCAAAAGTTAGTAAACTTAAATGTTTCCAGATAGTACCCCAGCACTGCGTGAGGAAGTTTAAAGGTAACGCGGAGCATACCTGTTCTCCCTACTGAAATGCCTCTCTGCTTTCTTGTTCTGTTTCGTTTTAGGCTGCACGAAAGTTTATACAAAGTCTTCTCACTTAAAAGCGCACCTGAGAACTCACACCGGTATGTACTCGCTCTCTCACTGTCTCTTGTTTATTCATGGCTTACACGTTTTCTGAGAAAGCAAGCACGTTGATCTGCCATCTTCTCCCTGTTTTCCGTACAGTGTTGTGGGTTCAGGCTGGCAGCTCAGTTAAGAAAAATTTAAGGTTTGGTCAATGAGAAGAAAAATTGCTTTTATTCTTAATGCAGCATTGTTAAACCTTTTATAATACAGAACTAAAAATAGCTAAGAATAAAACAGATGGAAACTTGCATTTTCAATCTAAAAATGCCGTGAAGTGGAAAAAAAAAAAAGGGACTTTTTTCCCTTGAATAATAAATTAAGCATAGTAAACATGTTACAGTTTTCAAGATTTATCTAAATGGATAGAATTTTCTGGTTTGGGCTTTCTCTTTGACCTGATAGAATTATTTAATCTTAGACTTTTTCAGGAATGC